TAAGCAATGAACAGTTGGTGTTTTCATTAACCCACCAGTTTTAAAGTTCAGCATGCCATGTCACACACAAGCAGTTGAAAGGCATGTTAAATAGTAACAAAAGCTTCAGCAGCTGTTTGTGGCTATTGCAGAAGAAAGGGATTCATTAAAGCAAAACTTCAATTTCACAAAATCATAAAAAAATTTAATTCTAAGAAACTATCCAGTTATTCTCTTGTCAAGTGGAAGGGTGGAACTCTACATGCAACTACCTCCTCATGGTGAGTTCTGGGTACTTTAGGATTTAAAACTCCTAAATTAGCTAAATTTTGTATATCCAAAGTTATGGTACTTTGATTTCTCATATACTTTGATTATGGATATTTTAAGGAAAATAACCCTCCCTCGCGGCAGTACAAGACATAATTTTAGAAGCCTCAAAGTTATCCACATAATTACCACTATTAAAAGGCACCATTCACATACCCTGCCAATAATGATATAAGAAATATATATTTTTGATGCACCCTAATATACATAATAATTAATTTTATTATACACACATTTATAGAATATACTACCTTTCATCAGGGGAAAAAACATTACAAAATAGGTAATAAAAAACATTTTGTAAATGTAAAATGATGTAGGGATTGCAGTGCTAAAAAGAATGCAAACAAGAATATAAGGATGATATGGCTATACATAGATCATCCCTACATGACTCTCAATATCAAAATTTAATGTGAAACTGTAATGTACATACTTGACTTTAATATCATGACAGTTGGAAGTTATATATTCCCGACTGTTGGTATGCAGTTTGTTTATCATAATATCATGGTCATGTCAGCATAGGCATCAATGTAGTGTAACTAAGAGCCTAGAACTTACATACAAGGAAAACCAAGTTCAGTCAAAACACGTCTTCATTACTGCAGATTATTACAGACCCTCATTATGACATTGAGCAAATTGACTGACCTCATAACAATTTTCTACTCGTGCATTTTACAGTGTAACATTAAACTGTAATATTGAAAGTCATGTAGGGATGATCTATATATAACTGTATCATCCCTATATTCTTGTTTGCATTCTTTTTTGTCGCTGCCATCCCTACATCATTTTACATTTATAAAATGTTTTTTTATTATTTGTCCAATAACTGTTGACCTTTAAAGCTTAGTTTAACACATGCTTAACAGTAATAATATAATCACAGGCCAAATGACATCATGAATTAGGCAATGAAAAAAATTCTACATTAAAATAACTTATACGTCACTGCAGCTAATATATAATAATTATCCTACTATATCTTATTTGAAAAAGTTCCCTATATACTTCTATTAGAAAGTAGAACAAGTCGTTTTAAAAAGAATTTTACAGTTTTGACACCACCAGTTTAAAAAAAAATGGTGTTTTCAAACTACTTAATCTAGAAATAAGTAGTAAAAAAGGTGCAAAGACTGCAGACTTGCAGCTATACTGCTTATGTTTATCCCATGCAGATAAAATTTTTAAACCTATCCCCACTCCAAAAAACATACATGGTGGTAGGGAGAAAAGATCCAAGTTAGAGTTAGCAGTTTGGATTGTTTTATTACTTTAACCAAAACAATTTCATAAAAATTTACATCACAACAACAACATTCAAATCTTAACATTTCAGTTGTAGTTTTCTTCTGTAAGTGATTAAACAAGTACAAGCATTACTGATAACAAATTAAATGCATTGTTTAAGTAGGGATGGACCAGTAAGCAGAATTACTAATAAATTTTAAAAAAATTTGTTTACGAACAGATTCATAGACTTCATTTGAAATAAGTTAATATACCAATTAAGCAGTAAATTCAGGATATAAAGGTTATAGATTATGTTATTTATAGAGTTTCAGATAGTGAAAATTATATTTTATGCAAAACTAAAGCAGCACAAAAAATTAAACATCATTTAAAGAACAAAATTACAAGAAAATAACTATGATTTATTTGTATTCAAATCTTCAGATATCATTATCTGTCATTTACCAATCTTTACGGAAAAGCTTCAGAATGGAGTTGCCCATGAAGTACATAATGCTAATCAATTTGCTTCATCTCATATTATTTAATAAAAACATCCAATTATAAATTTAAAAAATTCATTTCACAATAATAAATAATTCCAACAACAAAAAATATCTAAATATAACTAAAAAACAAACATTTATGGCATCTGAAAAATTTAATGCATTCTCTTGGATGTGCATTTGCAAAACAAATAAGATATAAAGAGAAAACACTTTCTCAGGACAGGTATATCTAATCACTTAAAAACAACTTAAATTTGCACATAGTAATGTTCAATCTTAAAAAACTAAAAAAATTTATTTAAAAAACAGCGATTATTTTATACACAATTCAATAAAACGAGATTGTTTCCAGTCTCCAAATTACTAAAATAATAACTTACTGTACTAGGTTAAAAAGTGGTAAAATCCCCCGATGTGACTGGAA